GGAAAAGAGTCTGAGAACAAAGTAGTCGAGAAGGTTGATTCTGATAAGGTTTTCTTGTGAATTCAGAGGATGAGGCTCTGGTGTATTATTCCAACAACAAAGTGAAGAAGTTCTTCAAGAAGAGTTTTAATCCTAAGTACAAGAACAACAACGAATTCAAAGGAAAATTTTCATCTGGGAAAGGAACGAGAGAACAGTCGAATGTAGAGAAGAAGGAGAGCAAGACTGTTGCTGAGAAGGTCGAAAAGAAACTAAAAGGATATTCTGGCTTTGAGTGCAATTACTTCAATGGTGCGAACCATCTGACAGTTGATTGTATGCTAAGGAAGAGAGAGAGGAAAAGAAAGAAAGAGTGAAAGATGAGGCATATTATATTGAGAGGTTGGAGGAAGTAAGAGAAAGGACGAAGGGATTGTCACTCGTTGCAAAGGGAGATGCTGATGGGGACGGAACTTCCCAAATTTGGTCTTCTGGTTCTGATGATGAGGAAATGTGAAACCCCACTCATGGAGCAACGTATGCTCGTTTCGAATAGGGAAGTTCTGATGAGGAGAAGATCACTAAAAAATGCTTCGTGTCTACCGGAGCATACAAATCTCCTATGACATCGACGGTACGTTCTCTTATTTAATCTTTTGATATTCCTTCAAGTTCTTATCATGATGTTTTATTTGATTTTGATGATACTCTCTTTTATGTTAATGACGTGCTTATTTTTGTTAATAGTGAAGCTGAAAGGACAAAATCTTTGTTGCTAGAATCACATAAACGTTTGGAATCTAAGAGATTTCATATAGATAGTCTAGAGCTAAAACTGAAACATTACTCTAGATAGGAATGTTGTTAGATCAGACAATATTTTGTTGATGAAATAAAGAAATATCTACTGTAAAAGTGCAAAACGATTTTATGCTAAACTAATTGCTCTTCATCATTCAGCTGACATAAGCAAAGAACAACATAGGAAATTATTGCCTTTTCTAGTGTACAAAAGACAGAAAATCGATACAACTTCCTGTGATTATGAGAAGAAAATATCTGATTCGATAAAGTCCCCAATGATTTGTAGGCTTATGGGATAGTTAGAATAGATGAATGTTTGAATGCTAGTGAATTAGTCCATATTGTGAATGAGACTTTGACTAAGACTGAACAAATCAAAAATTTAAACATGACTGAGACTTCGACATTGGACTCTTAACAAGATTTTGCTGATATCGAAGATAATTCTGACCATATTAGTGAGATTGAGGAAGAGGAAACAATTGACTATTCTCAATTGACTTTCATTAATGTCACTTCTATGTCCAAGGGAAAAGAAATTTGTTATGATTCAATGGAGAAGGTTAACACTGACCAACCCTCTACATCAAATGTTCATGACTATGACCATGTGATTGTCGAAGATAGTCAGACTGATAGTGATGAAGATGATGTTCTAATTGAAACAATTGTTCCCCGAGTTGTTGTCGAACAAGTTTATGAAGTTGTGTTTCCTAATCAAGTGCCTGTTACCTCTGGAAATGGTGACAAAGTTAATCATGATATCAAAAACTTGTTGAGGAAGACAACAAAATAGCAACAAAATAAGGGTTTTTCTCAAACCAAAGCACCGTCGAAAATACCGTAAACAAGAACTCCACGACTTTTCAAAGGCAAAAACCTAAACGGGTTTGGGAAGTTAAACCAGATAAATCAACAGTTGACAATCAAACAAAAGAAACAAATGAATCGATTTCGAAAACTCAGAAAACAAAAGCACAAATTTTCAATGAGAATGTTCAAAAGGTTGCTAAATAGTAAGGTGTTTTGATGTCAAAGGCTCGAAACAAAGTCTATTGGAAAAATGTCAAAACTTTTCAAAAGCAAAAAGTTTTTAAGCAAAAACCATCTGAACAAGTTAAGACGTTTTCTCAAAATAAGACTTCTGATCAAAAGAAACCCATTTAAAAGCAAAATGATTTTTCAAAGAATCAATCTAAAGTTCAAAAACTAGTTCAACCACCGATTTTCCAAAAACAAAGAAATGAAAATTTTGTTCAAAACCAACGACCAAGGAATTTTGTTCTAATGAAAGGTTTTCACAAAACCATTTTCAAAAAAATGTTGTTCAACGTGATGAACAAAGAAATTTTCATCAATTTCGAGGTCAAATAAGTTTTCCACAACAACAAAATACTTTTACTCAAACATCGGTTGCTATTAACAAACATTATAATAAAAAACGTTTTCAGAATTCTCCAAATCCATCTTTTCCAAAACAATCTTTTCTAAAGAGAAATCTTGATAAGTTGGAAGTAAAAGGAAAGAAAAGTGAACCAAAGAAAAGTGAATTGTTTAAGCCAACACAACCTCACTTTCCAAATCCGGAACTGAAGCAGAAAGTCAAAGCTTCGTTTGTCAAAGGGAAAACCGATGTGAAGAAAATAAATCATTGGCTTGAAGGCAAAGGGAAACCATACCAAATGGGAATGTATTCTGAAAATCAAATGACGGATGCTTACAAAAGCTACTTGAACGAGTCACAAAATGGTAGTACATCATCAATAGAATCAACTCCATCAGTAAAACAGTGGAAAGAAGTACCTAAGACGAAGGTCAAGTGACAGTTCTTATCTTCTTGGGGCAACCGAAACATTCGGTGGATGTGACGGTTTAGTTCTTTCATGATTTTCTAGGAACAAATGATCATTACTTTTCATACATGGTGACTTTTCTGGAAACTGGCACACTATCCAAGACAACACGTGGCATAATTTTATTGGTGAACGATTCAAATTCAAATTTTATGTTCAGTATAAAAGGATTTTGGTGGACTAAATTAATGACTTTACGCAATCTGGTCTATTTTCCCCCCAAATCTTCTTTCCTTATACTCATCTCTCCACATAATTCTACAAAATTCTAACAATGGCGGAACCAACTGGTCATGTTGATCCATCAAACACCACCATAGAAGACGCAACTTCTCAACCTTTACTGAAGATTCAAAGCTCAAACTTCCGTGTTCAACGTGATGTTTCGAAGTACCCAGAAGAATTACAGATGTTGATTGTTGCTCTCAATCACTCTGTTCTCTCAACGGTTATGAGTTCTTCATTCTCAGTACCCATGACTTGGTTATCATTGGTTGGTTCAACTGTTGTGTTCAACAAGATAACCAAAGTGGCGACGTTTCAATTGACAAATGACAAGAAGTATAAGCTTACTAAGAAGCAGTTTGCACAAATTATGAAGCTTCCAGTTACAGGTCCGTTTTATGAAGTTACATTTGAACAGGTTCTGTCTATGTTGAATGAATAGGGTCATCAACCACCACTTATAGTCCTTAGTCATTTTCGCAAAAATTCTTTGCCCTTTGTTTGGAATTTCTTGTTCGGGATTTTCCTTTGATGTCTAACTGGTAGATGTTCAGGGCTTGACAAAGCAAAATTGGAAGCATACATTATGATTACAGGTCTGTATTATGATCTGAATGTTGACTACGCAACTCAATTGTGGGAAGAATTCAGTACTGGCATTAATCATATGAATGTCCTGAATAGAGTATCACGTGGAAGGTATTGGAGCTTGATTTTGAGGGATGTTTACAAGAAAGAGGGTATTTTGGTACCATCCGAAGATGCAAAGGCGGACTTCTCAATCTATCAGGCCCCTAAGATTGTTACTGATGATCCTGCTTTGTTTCCTAATGTGGCTCGAATTCCTGATGCCATGTTATAAAAAGTGGATCCTACTAATCCAATTCTTGTTCAATACTTGACCACCATCAACCCAGATGTCAGGCAGGGGTTTTGTTGCCTAAAGGTGTTGAAGGCACATCGAAGGATTTGAAATATTCGAAGAAACCAAAGAAACTAGAGCCACCTAAGTTCTTTCCTATGCAAATCGAGAAGGATGTAACGAAACCAGTTCAAGAATCTGTTGAAAAATAAGTTCAAAAGGAGGCCGTGCCTTCGAAGACATGTATTCTGAAACGTACTAAGAAGCCTGCTCATCATCCTCGACACTCTCCTGAACCACCCATTATTGAAGACGCTTCTGATGAACCAACGTCTTCACCCAAAGATGGTTCTATTTCGAAGATAAGGAAAATTTGAAAACCCCAACTTAACAGGAGGGGTGTGCGTATTTGTGATGTTTCACATCTAGTTTCACCAGCCTCAGGTGGTTAAGAATATTAAGAAGAAGATGCAACTTGTTGATCCACTGGATGAAGTTGTCGTGGAAACATATTTCGAAAGCGGAAGTGACAGGTCTCCGATTCGTCAAGACATTGGCATGGGCTTCGAGAAATCGCAAAGAGACTCTCTGGTTAAGTTGACTTTCGAGGAGACTAAACGTCTTGGTGGCCCTGTACACGTATCTCAGACAGATACAACCACCAATTTGGGTGAATCTCCGATTATTACCATCCCTGAGAAGATTGTGGTCATACCACCCGAAGTTTCGATGACCGGGTCTGTTTTAGAGGAAGTTTGAACTTCAGGTTTCCCATTGAACATATCTAATATAGACACAAATGTCAATATGGTTGAAGGGATAAAGCAAAGCGAAGCTCCAGGTAGATCTTCTGTTGAAACATCTTCTACTCCTACATCCCTTATTTTGTCTTCTACTATCGAAACTACCCTTATCGATACTTCTACTTCCTTACCAGCATTCACTTCACCTATTCCATCTTCATTATCTGCTTCTACCATTTCATCCAATTTTTCAAACATTATGCATCAACCTATTGCCTCACTTTTCTCTTCTCAATCCACCGAAGGAAAAAAGTTAGTTCATGAAGAAGACCAAGATGATGATGATGTGATGGTCTCTTTTGCAGAGATTCAACCACCAATTTGGGTGAATCTCCGATTATTACCATCCCTGAGAAGATTGTGGTCATACCACCCGAAGTTTTGATGATCGGGTCTGTTTTAGAGGAAGTTTGAACTTCAGGTTTCCCATTGAACATATCTAATATAGACACAAATGTCAATATGGTTGAAGGGATGAAGCAAAGCGAAGCTCCAGGTAGATCTTCTGTTGAAACATCTTCTACTCCTACATCCCTTATTTTGTCTTCTACTATCGAAACTACCCTTATCGATACTTCTACTTCCTTACCAACATTCACTTCACCTATTGCATCTTCATTATCTGCTTCTACCATTTCACCCAATTTTTCAAACATCATGCATCAACCTATTACCTCACTTTTTTCTTCTCAATCCACCGAAGGAAAAAAGTTAGTTCATGAAGAAGACCAAGATGATGATGATGTGATGGTCTCTTTTGCAGAGATTCAGTTCGATCCAGAAGAGGATAACATTCCCGATCACATGCTCATGTCAGGGAAGCATTATAAAATCCTGAATCATAAGTTCAATTTGTTGTTGCAAATTCAGGAAGATACAGGGGGTCGAAGTTCATGATCTAGGATTGAGGTCGACGTTCAACTTTCGAACATTGTCACCTTTAGTCTTTCCACTTTTAATTAATCTAATTAATCCCAAAATTAATTGTAATTAATTTCTAAAAATTTTAATTAAACAATACTATTTCAAATTAATATATTATTCTCATCATATATTAATAAATCATTTATTATGATTTCTTATTAATTTATTATCATATAATAAATTAATAAATTAATCTCTCTCTCCAATAAACATTCCATCAATTAGTAGGTTTGAGGGCAACCCAAAAGGACTTTGCAAATAATTCAAGATTATGTTAATTTAGTTATTAGCTTAGACACCTAATCCTACAAATGTAGCATTTAATGAGTTGTTGTATATTAATTTCCAATAGTTTAATATCTTTTGTTCTTTACAACATTATGTCAATCTTTATTTGTTGATCTGTTTGTACCATTGATCTAAAAGTCAAAGGTCAATTTTTTTATAAACTTATTATAAATAGGTAGCATAGAAAAAATTGTTCGATACCATACCAGGATAATATTCTTTTATCTTTGTTCATATTTTTTCTCTCTATAATATACTAAAAATGAAGCTGTCTTATGTTTATAGGGTTGCGTTGACGTTAGTTCTGGCAATTCTTTTGGTGAAATTTCATGTGGCTATGGCAGTAGATTGTGATATTATGCAACTAAAACCATGTCTTGATTATTTGGATCGAGGATCACCAGCACCCTCACCAGATTCAGAATGTTGCCTTAAACTTCACCAGCAAGAATCATGTCTCTGTGATTTTGTAAAGCATCCCAAATATGGACGATATTTTAAGTATCCCGAAGCTAAAAGAATAGCAAAAGTTTGTCGTATTACCATCCCTGATCCAAAAACATGTAAATAAGAATATGCTTAGAAAAAAATAAATGCCAGTCCATTTTATAATAAATCTTATGTAGTTTGAGTCGAGTGTCAATAATATATGGTTACATTTCTCATAGACTTGACTTTATCCCATTTTCTTTCATGGTTTTTGTCTATATCTTTTTGTTTACAATTAAATATTAGATTAGGAAAACCAATTCTGTAACAACTGCCAAATTTCGGTCAAAGACGGTAGGTCAATCCCCATGAAAGTTGCTAGGACTAGATCAAATGGATGATATCTATGTGTTTATTAAAAAAAATTAATGATAGGAATAACCATACATTTCTATATTCGTGCACAACTATATATATATATATATATATATATATATATATATATATATATATATATATATTTGTAGATATGTATGTGTGTTAAAGGTAAATTTTAGAAGATAAAGATTTAACTAATTATCAAAGTTGATACATTATAATATTATGGAATTCGAAATCTTCACATATATTAGATGACATCTTCATATATTAGATAAAAATGTGTAACATGATTCAACACATGAGTCCATATATATTAGGGGTGTGATAAAAAACCTAACCGAACCAAATGATATTTGGTTTATTTGTTTCGGGTTATTTGGTTTTCAGTTCATTCGGTTTGTTTAAATTTTTATTGTTTTGGTTAAACCAAAAACAAAATAAGATATATATATATATATATATATATATATATATATATATATATATATATATATATATATATATAGAGGTTTAGGCTCTATGGAAAACATAAAACCCTAAAAATCATAAAAATGCATAAAAAAAATACTTAGAGATCACAAAACCTTTTTTTACAAAAAAAAATTGATTTTTTTTTCAACGAAATTTTAAAAAAAGCTGCGATTTTTTGATGTGTAAAGTCAAAAAAAAGTTTTGTGATGTCTAGGTATTTTTTTATGCATTTTTATGATTTTTATGGTTTTTTTGTTTTCCATATAACCCTTCCCTATATATATATATATATATATATATATATATATATATATATATATATCTATATATATATATATATATCCATGAATTAACATTTTTCATATAAAATTATAGATTAGTTACTAAGATTTGCATAACTTATCATTTAGTTATTAACCATTAAGGATTTATATTTGTATTATATTTTGTATTAAAAAAACAAATTAACCAAATGTATTATATCTATATTAACTTAACTAACAATTTGTGTGCATGCTTCAGCTCTTCAAGACAATACATCATGAAATATTGAATATCATGTGTTATACATTAATGTATTTTCTTTATTTTTTTTAAATCTTTAGTAAGTTTATTTTTTCTTTTGGTTTAATATTTATATTTACTTGCGAATTTTTATTTGGTTTAATCGGTAAACCAAACTGAATAAACCGTAAACGAATAAATCGAACCTTATTTGGTTTGTTTATGATTAGATTAAAATATAAACAACCAATAAACCGAACCGATTTAACCGAAAACCGAAAACCAAACGAAAACGAATAACACCCCTAATATAGGCAGCTTCCTTATACTCTCTTTATAGCGTGGTTTCATGAATGATGCCTACTATTGATTTGACTGATTTTTTTTTATACATATAATATAATAAACTTTTAATAGTATATATATAAGGTGTAGTTTAAAACTTTTCTAAGATACTAGGTTTTAATTTAAATTTTCGAAACTAATAAAAAAATTAATTTTATTTAAAAAGAAACCAATTTTGATTTAATCTTTATGTTTTAATTAACAATTAATTAAATTAATTAAATCATAATGGATTAAATAATTATTTACCATTAACCAATTATAAAATAATTCAAAATTAATCCTAATCCAAAGCCTTCTAATTTTCGAAAAAAAACCACTAGTGTTTATTAGGTTTTAGTTGTTGAAAATTTAAGGCTTTTAAAATAACAAATAAGAAAACAATGTAAACCCTAAAAGGGGCTCCTCAATTTTCGAAAATAGGCAAAGGAGAATTGGGTTTCTAAAACCCTTGCTCAAATCGAAAATCACGTACTTAGGGTTTAGTTTCTATAAACCCTAATTTTGATCTATTCAACATTATGCAAGATCAATGAATCTGATACTACTGATAGGTTTTATAGGTTATAAAAATCTTATTTTGGTGGAAAAAGTTAAACCATAAGTTCACATGCAACCTAAAGGATCAATGTTCTCACTATGATTTGCAAACAACTACTAAATATCAAGAACCCTGAAAGTATGTTGCTATTTTCGAAATTAACAAAGTCTTATCGAAACTACCCTTATCGATACTTCTACTTCCTTACCAGCATTCACTTCACCTATTCCATCTTCATTATCTGCTTCTACCATTTCACCCAATTTTTTAAACATCATGCATCAACCTATTACCCCACTTTTCTCTTCTCAATCCACCGAAGGAAAAAAGTTAGTTCATGAAGAAGACTAAGATGATGATGATGTGATGGTCTTTTTTGCAGAGATTCAGTTCGATCCAGAAGAGGATAACATTCCCGATCACATGCTCATGTCAGGGAAGCATTATAAAATGCTGAATCATAAGTTCAATTTGTTGTTGCAAATTCAGGAAGATACAAGGGGTCGAAGTTCATTATCTAGGATTGAGGTCGACGTTCAACTTTCGAACATTGTCACCTTTAGTCTTTCCACTTTTAATTAATCTAATTAATCCCAAAATTAATTGTAATTAATTTCTAAAAATTTTAATTAAACAATACTATTTCAAATTAATATATTCTTCTCATCATATATTCTTCTCATCATATCTTAATAAATTAATAAATTAATCTCTCTCTCCAATAAACATTCCATCAATTAGTAGGTTTGAGGGCAACCCAAAAGGACTTTGCTAATAATTCAAGATTATGTTAATTTAGTTATTATCTTAGACACCTAATCCAACAAATGTAGCATTTAATGAGTTGTTGTATATTAATTTCCAATAGTTTAATTTCTTTTGTTCTTTACAACATTATGACAATCTTTATTTGTTGATCTGTTTGTACCATTGATCTGAAAGTCAAAGGTCAATTTTTTTATAAACTTATTATAAATAGGTGGCATAGAAAATATTGTTCGATACCATACCAGGATAATATTCTTTTATCTTTGGTCATATATTTTTCTCTCTATAATATACTAAAAATGAAGTTGTCTTATGTTTATAGGGTTGCGTTGACGTTAGTTCTGGCGATTCTTTTGGTGAAATTTCATGTGGCTATGGCAGTAGATTGTGATATTATGCAACTAAAACCATGTCTTGATTATTTGGATCGAGGATCACCAGCACCCTCACCAGATTCAGAATGTTGCCTTAAACTTCACCAGCAAGAATCATGTCTCTGTGATTTTGTAAAGCATCCCAAATATGGACAATATTTTAAGTTTCCCGAAGCTAAAAGAATTGCAAAAGTTTGTCGTATTACCATGCCTGATCCAAAAACATGTAAATAAGAATATGCTTAGAAAAAAATAAATGCCAGTCCATCTTATAATAAATCTTATATAGTTTGAGTCGAGTGTCAATAATATATGGTTACATTTCTCATAGACTTGACTTTATCCCATTTTCTTTCATGGTTTTTGTCTATATCTTTTTGTTTACAATTAAATATTAGATTAGGAAAACCAATTCTGTAACAACTGCCAAATTTCGGTCAAAGACGGTCGGTCAATCCCCATTAAAGTTGCTAGGACTAGATAAAATGGATGATATCTATGTGTTTATTAAAAAAAATTAATGATAGGAATAACCATACATTTCTATATTCGTGCGCAACTATATATATATATATATATATATATATATATATATATATATATATATATATATATATATATATATATATATGCATTTGTAGATATGTATGTGTATTAAAGGTAAATTTTAGAAGATAAAGATTTAACTAATTATCAAAGTTGATACATTCTAATATTATTGTGACAATCCGAAACTTTTTTAAAATTTTTGCCTTGCAAAGCTCAGCCAGTCAAGTCAACTAAGTGTCAGACTCATTTCTGCTATCATTTAGCCTCGTTTAGAGTCCGTTTAAAGGTCCAAAGGTCAGTACATTCAAGCATTGAGCATAGGA